AAAGATTTTATTGGGGAATCGGGGGAGGGGAACAGTGTTGGGGAATTGGGGGAAGGGGACCAGCCAAGTTGTTGTTCTTCAATCTTCATTGTGGAGGGCGCCAGTCACCATCTGGCTTCCCATCGGCAGCTCGTGGCCTCTAAGCTCAAGATGCTGTGTTAACCATCTTAGTTTCGGGTGGGCATAGCTACCATCCCATGCGGGAGTCAAACCAGCATGCTGTTAGGAGCACATGCTCTATCCACTGAGCCATCTGGGCGGCAGCTCAGCTCAAGGTGCCAAGTTCAGTGTTAGTTGCAGGCAGGCACAGCCCACCATCGAACAGGAAGTCTTGTTGTTAGGAGCACGTGCTCACACCAGCTGAGCCATCCTGCCACTTGTTAGCAGCTCAGCGACAGCTCAGCTTGGTCGCAGCGTCACTGGCCCATGTGGGAATCCAACTGGCAGCCTTGTTGCTCAGAGTTCACACTCTTAAGCCAACTCTTAACCAGCTGAGCCACTTGGCCAGCCCAAACTTGTTTTTAAAGGATAACTACTGAGTTAATATAGAGGCAAGATTGAAGTGGGAAGTGGCTCTCACAGTGAGACCAAGTATGATGCTTTTGAAATTATCCAATAGCGGATGATGCTTTTGAAATTATCCAATAGCGGATGAGTCCTTGACAAAATCAGTGAGACTGGAGATGAGGACTGGATTCCAGGGTAGTTGCCATACAAGCAATAAGAGCATCCAGCAAATAATTAGATGTGATAAAAAGCAGTCAGGTATGATTGAAGTTTCTAGTTTAAGAAACTGAATAAGATAATAGTATTGGGCCGGCCAAGTGGCTCAGTTGGTTAATAGCGCGAGCTCTGAGCAACAGGGTCACCAGTTCGATTCCCACATGGGCCAGTGAGCTATGCCTGAACTGAGCGCAGCTGAGCTGCCAACAGGTGGCTGGATGGCTTAGCTGGTGAGAGCACAAGGTTGCCAGTTCGACTCTCACATGGGATGGTGGGCTACGCCCACCCACAACTAAGATTGAACACGATTGAACACGGAACCTTGAGCTGAGCAGCCGTGAGCTACTGATGGGCTGCTGGACAGTGACTGGACTTGGAGCTGAGCTAGCTGCGCCCTCCGTAACTAAGACTGAAGAACAACTTGCCTGTTTCCTTTCCCCAATTTCCCAAAAAAAAAAAAAAAGAAAAGAGACATAAGTATTAACACAAGTATATTAGAAATAGTCAATTTAAGATTGGGACATAATAGGTTTGAAGAGCCTGACTATCTATTCAAATATGCCCAAAGAAGATGGAAATAAGAATCTTAGGCTGTAGAATCAGGAATCTTCCAACAGCATGTAACATACCAGCGTTTTCATAAACCAGGGATATCATTAACACTTTCTTCTGGAAACATTCAAATTTTGAGCAAATTACTTTGAGATTCATCTCACAATAAACTAGGAACTGCCTACATAACACTTCTGTTAATTTTGGTGGATTTAAATTAACCTCTCAATGAAATTGTATCAGTTCTTTAAATCTGTTGAGAAAATTTTTTCCACATGTAGGATATTTGGTGATACAGACTGAAATTCCCATCTCTACCTGTGGTGGGCAGAATAACACTATCTCCCCTCAAAAGATGACCATGTCCTAATCCCTGGAACCTGAGTATGTTACATTACTTTATGTTACGTTACAAACATTATGCTATGGCAAAAGGGATTAAAGGTGGCAGGTGGATGGAATTAAGGTTGCTCATAGACTAAAATGGAAATAAAGTGATTACCTGGGTTATCCAGGTGGGCCCAATGCTGTAACAAGGGTCCTTAAAAGTGGAGAAGTGGGGCCGGCCGAGTGGCGCGATGGTTAAGAACTGGCTTGGGACGCCAGAGGGCCCCAGTTCGGATCCCACATATGAGGGCCAGTGACACTGCCCTCTACAGCTAAGATGCTGAACAACAGCTCAACCTGGAGCTGGGCTGCCATGAGTCGCTGGCGATGGTGTAGGCTGCAGCCCCTGTGGCAGTGGATTGCCATGGGCTACCGTGTGTAGCCAGCAGCCAGCGTGAGCGGCCAGCAGCCGCAGTGAGCGGCCGTCCAGAAGCCGGCGACCGATCTGCCTCGCCAGAGAAGAGCGCGATGATGGTGCCAACTTGGGCCAGTGAAGCAACGTCCTCCACAACTAGAATGAAGAACAAAAGGACAGCAACTTGTCTGTTCCCCTTCCCCCAATTCCCCAGCACTGTTCCCATTCCCCCAATTTCCCAATAAAAAAATCTTAAAAAAAAAAAAAAAGTGGAGAAGTGGAAGAATGGAAGGGAGCCAAGGAATTAGGACCACCTCTAGAAACTAGAAAAAGCAAAGAAATGGATTCTCCCCAAAAGCATCCAGAAAGGAACACAGCACTGACAACACCTTGGTTTTAGCCCAGGTAGACTCATGTCAAACTTCTGACGTCCAGAACTGTAAGGTCATAAATGTCTATCGTTTTAAGCCACTACGTTCATGGCAATTTGTTACAGCAGCAATATGTAACTAATACAATACTTCTGTACTAAAACATACATATTAAGAGCATATAATCTTTCTGAACGTTGTCTTTCTTCAGTATAGTTTGGCCATGGTCAGTAATCAAAGGCTCTCCGATTTGATTCTGTTTTCCTATTAAATCAGAGTTAACTTCACCTACAGAAGTTTTTCCCAAACTCAAGACATAAATTGGTGTTCTGTGGAAATAAAGAATAGAGAGGGAGGGAGGGTAATGCTCTTAAACATGAGAAATATAATAATATTTATATTGATTTAAAACAATCTGCCTCTCAGAAAGCTGCCGTATCTGAGAATGCAAGGGCCTGGTACAGAGGGCCACCCAGAACATGAGTCATAACATTTGATTAGAGCATCAGTGCAAAGGCAGCATTGCCCCACAGTCTCATTGATATGTCACTGACTTGGTAATTGGTCTCTTTTCCTTGTCTTAGATTGTACTTTCATATTATGTTTATCATTTTTTTGTCCTTACCAAAATAAAATGAGTTTCTCAACTGGTTTTGTTATAAAGGGAAACCATTTAAACCATTAAAAGTCTTCATTGTCAGTAAGTTTAGGAAATGCTATGCTATAAGTCTAACAAATAATTTTAACTTCTGTGAAGGATGAGTAACAGTAAATGATAAAAAAATATATAAATCAGATTTTCTAGAATGGCTTTATTTTAAAAACCTATACAGAGTTTCAATTTAATAAACTATTGCGCCATGAAGCATCTAATTATACAGCAACAGGAAAAAAAAACCACAAAGTACAGTTAATTAGAGGTTATCCAAAAATAAATTCACAATTTTGAAGTTGAAATACATATGCTTTTTTCAAATAAACAATTTAAAAAGATTTTGTTTCAGATAATTTTCCTCTTAAACATCTGAGATACACATAATCTTTTGAACAAAAACTAAACAACCTCAATAGCTTCACAAATAAGTGCTTCTATTTATTTGAAAAATAACCCTCAAACCATTCAATTACTAATTTAGTCACAAAATGCTAACAAAGCCAAATAAATCATTGCTATAAAATGCATACCTCTTGAAAATGAAATCTACATCTGAGTTGAGAAGAGAAATAAACTTTTTGTAGAAAAAGTTGAGTCTTCCTGACTAATTGATTTTCTATCAAATTTATCCTATTCTGACTACTTTCACAATATATCTTAATCCTGAAAGAGGGCGGGGTGTTAAAATACGACAAGCTTCTTTGGCCCTTTAGATAGAGGTACCTTAAATGTAAACAGCTGTACTTAGAGCCTTCCAGATGTGGACACCTATGTCTTATACTGAGTTGAAGCTGTATGTCCTTGTTTCTCAAAGGCATGATAATTTCCTTCCTAATAATGAAAGATTGGTGCACTGAGATTTGTTTTCAAATGCCTTAAGAATCAAAATTCATATGTCTATAAAGAATAGTTTCAAAAGATCAGAGGAAAGCATTATGATACTACATCATCGATTTTATTAATGGTAAATGTTTGCATTTATTTTTAAAAGCTTAGCTCTTGCTAAGCATTTTTCTTTTTAACAGGAGCTAATAAGCAAGAATCATTTGCCATACAAAAACTATATTCACAAACAAGACTCTAAATTTAATCAAGTGAAAGCTAAAAACCATTGGAAAAATACAAAGCAAAATACTGCTATGAGTCAATTAAATTGCTTTCTAGCACTGAATAAATATACTGTATCTAGAATGACAAAGCATACTGAACTTAAAAACAATTTGTGGATTCACTCTAAGTAAGACTAGCATAAGTATGACATGCAATTCATGACCAGCCCCACCCCTGCAAAACAATTTTTTTTTAAACCAAATCACTTGAACAAAAGGTTTTCATTTGAGGGGAAGACCATCTGTGTTTACCAAACAGATCTTCCTTGCAAACTAAACTGTTTGAACCCTATATCTCCTCTTCCCAGATGCTACTTATACATGTCTTTGCATAACGACTTTACATAGAATTACTTTTCTGGTAACAGTGTCATGGCCATAAATAATCACTTTTTAAAAAACAAGTATCAAGTGCAAATCTAGAAAACTTCCTTTAAAGAATTACCCTAACCCAGCACACATACAGTATTGCTATTTCACAAGCTAAGCAATACAACTTAGAAACGTGTGTATGATGATACACACACACTAAAGACTGCCTTCTATAAAGTTTTAGTAAGTGTTGCCAAGTTAATAATTCTTTCAAGGCACTGAAGAACCATGTAGATGGAGTTTCCAAAATATAATCAACAATTGCTTAAATTGTTAAAAAGCCCTGAGACAGAACTTTCGATAGCTTCCTGAAATTATAGATTTCAGACAAAATGGCACATTTGTTTATTTTATAGAAAATTACAGGACCATTTTGCTTTTTGGAGGAAAGAAGTCATGTTTATGAAACAAAATCAAATAGACTGTACAGGGAAAGGAACATATTCAGCAATATTATCTTTCCTACACATTTTATACATGTCAATTATAACCTGTAGTTATGGATTTAGGCACCAAATTGATGTGGCAAAGTCACCTTTCTGTGCCTACTGCTTAAATTCTCAACAAAATAAAAATTTCAATTTTAATCTTGGGTTTCCATCTCCTCCTTAGTCACAAATATGAATGTTGGAAAAGTAATACTCTTGACAGAAAAAGATAGAAAATGCCCATGTAGCAACTTACAATTTAAATTCATCAGCTCCACGATCTAGTTCATATTTTTATATTCTAGTTTCACCCACTACTAACCATTTATCAGTAAACTGAGGCTCAATCTAAAGGATTTTTCCCCTCACTATAGACAAGCAACATACACAAGACATCACTGAATAGTTTTTCCTCAAATTTAATGTTTTAAAGAAGTACAACTATAATTAATAATACTGTTATAGTTATATAAGTATATGTTAAAGTTCCAAGGCTATATATGATTATCAAGTAATATCAGTAAGCATTCCTATCATAATAGTCAAGCAAATAAAATTAGGTTGCTTTTTGAGAGGAAAAAAATTGAAACAGTTACAAGTAGACTTAAAGACTGACATTTTCAACAAGGCACATATAATTTGAAAAAATCTTTTACCTTCCCAATTTAGTACAAATTCAAAGCTAACCTAATTTTAATGTTTAAAATGTGTTTCTCCCTTCTGATTCAAAATAAAATCACAAACCCTTCCAATTAACAGACATTTAGAACCTACTCAATTATGACTGATGACAATTGGGAGGGAGGGAAGAAATTCTGTTGTCCCCAAATTTTTAGTAACTTGATGTTTACCATGACGTTAGATCTTGTGAACACAAATAATTAAGATAATTCAGGTGCTTCTTTTTATATTTAATCAAAATTCTATTTCACTGGGAGAGGAGTGGAAGGGGGTCTGTTGTTTAAGGGGTATAGAATTTCAATTTTTCAAGATGTTTCAATTTTTCATAACAATGTGAATTTAATTAACACTACTGACCTGTACACTTAAAAATGATTAAGATGGTAAATTTCATGTTGTGTTTTTACAATAAAAAATGCAAAAAAATTCTATTCCAAAATTCAATTTTTACACAAGCTATGACTATAAAATATTTTAGACACTAAGGTAAGTGCTTTTCCTTTTGCATGTTTTTTCAAAGCAAGCTGTATGAAAGCCTGTAATTTACAAAGCAACTGTCAATTAAACTACATTGAAAACTGGTTGAAGACACTTTTTACTATTCAATTAAATATACTCTCTGGGCTTACTGCTTTAAAGAAATCTACATGATCCCTTTTTCCTCTTAATTCAGACATTGACTTTTCTTTCTTATTTGCTGCAGCCCCCCACTGTCCTCCCAATCCTACCCCATCATTAATTCTCCTAATTCATAAGTTTAATTCCTAGTCTAAAAGGGTCCAAAATTCATAATAAACAAAGAACAGTAATTGGGCAACAACATAAACTAGACAGCATATTTCTACCACGTAAAAATGAAGCAAGGTTTGAAATTTGAATTGGACAAATCTTAAGCAGCATGCATTTCAATATGCTAAAATGGTTTTTACAGGCTAAAACCATCAAAGATATAAATTTAAGAAAGTTATTTTCAACATTTCAACAATTAATTTTAGGCCTTAGTAGCTAGCTGGTCAATTTGCAATGAAAATTACAAATAACCAAGCATAATTCGGCCAGCTACACTAAACACTTGTCTAATATAATATTCCTATACTAATACAAAATGACCTTCTCTTGAAAAGCCTTCTTGCTCCCAATAAAATTAAATATGTATATAGTATAAGCAGTAAAAATGTTAAATTATGTGAAGAAAAACAATTAGAATAGCACCATCTGGTAGGTTGTCTGTATGTTTTGGGTAACAGAGCTGACAATCTTAGAAAAATAAAGGAGAAAATGTGGTAGGAGAGAGGGGATAGAAAGAGGGAGTACAAATACTACTTAATGACAACTCTTATGAAACATTAGGAAGAAATGTTATCAGTACCTTTGGATCTCTTCTTTTTGTCTATGTTATTTCAAATGTACAATGGCTGCATAAATTCTGTACGTGCTAAGATGCTGACCATTTTTTTCAATGTTGTATATCTAGCCCCTGAAGCCTAATAAATAACATTTTTGAATGAATTCATGTCTGTTATTTTTTTAATGATTAAGGAAAAGTAAAAGCTCTTTGAGGCACAAGATAAAGAGATGATACATAGCTATGAGAAGGAAACATACCTAATTGGGAAAGTACTGCTGAGACATATATAATAAGAGGTAGCAGTTTCACACAGTTAGAGGAAAGTCACTTAAACAATTCAGTTCTTAATCTTATTCTCTCTCACAATCCCAAAACAAGTTTAAAATAATTTTTAGGTGCTTGAAAACATGAATAGAGAAATATGTTCTATTCATTAAATAAATTTCAAAGTGGTACAAATACAGAAAATCCACAAGTACAGAGCACAATAATTATAGTGATTTTGACTTTTGTAATAGTTTGTAAGTTATTATATTTTTAATACGGTGGAAATAAACTAGACTGGGAGATGAAATTTCCTTTTAGGAATATATGTTTTAGCACTGCAGTTCAGAAGACAAATAAAAAGGGTTTAAGTAAAGTAGAGCTCTAGACCATACGATTCTCTGGTTGGCCAAACTATGCAGGAGTCAGCCAGGTGCTCTCCCCTTACCAGCTGATCTACTGGAAAAGAGATGGGTGGCCCATAGCATGGAAGAAAAGGAAAACTCTGACTTTTGCCATTTTTAAACCTAAAAGAAAATAGTCTGTCTCTTTATGTGAACATCATCAGTCAGATATTCTTTTCATAACTTCAAAATATGGCTTAAGAAATAGCCTCAGTGGCCCATTAGATAACTGAGTAAAGTCGATATAAATTTTCAAATGTAAATTTATAAAAATTTTCCTGTTCTAAATGATAAGTTACTAAGTTAAACACAGATATGAAATTACCAAAACTACAAAATCAGCCAGCAAAGCTCACTATTATTTTCACCAGGTCTTGCAAAGGCAGCAGTCATGAAATAGCCAGAAACATGATGTTATGAGAGCTAGAGACTTTGTACTTTCAAAATTAGTTGTAGCAGAAAAACTGACATAAGAATTAGATTCAAAGGGGAAGAAAAAACTACTAAAAAAATAACTACCCTTAGGAGTAAGTTTATACATGATATATAGTAGACACTACTGTAAACAGCTGATATTTTTGTAATCTAGCAGCAACGAACCCCAAAACACTTATTTATGTGTACATTCATTCTGGGTGTTGTAAGATTACTCATTCAAAGGACAGAAAATGATTAGATACTCTAAAGTCAAAGTTTGAGTATAAAAAAATCTACAGGTAATCAGATATATTTCTGTACATGTCCTAGTCACTCCTTCTAAAGTAAGTATTTATTATTAGGTTATTTACTATGTCTTGGATATTGCTGGCAGTTTGCATAATATCCTCATCTGTAGGTATAAAGAGAGACTGTTTTCTTTATAGTAAGCCATACTATCAGAGAGTGGAAGCAAGGCCTATGATGAAGGTAGAATGAGTAACACTGTCAGAATTAATAGATATGGAGAAGAAACGATTGCTGCCTTTGGATAATGCATTAGTCTTCTCAGATCACTGGGTTACCACTATTCAGTATATTAGAAAAACTAAATTGAACCTCAGAGGCCAAATAGGGGAATATCATTTCACTGGGCAGATCAAGCCAGGATAAGCAACCATAGAGAAAACTGAGGTACAATTTTCACTAACACTATTTTTTTTAAGGCTGGCTGAACTGAACAGTGTATAAATTAAGAAAGGCAAGTATTAACAGTTAATTAATAAGTACTCTTTTATTGGATAATTTTCCTCCCTTTAGTTCCCTATTATGATTGTTTATTTTTCCTTTTCATATCTATGAGTCATTTTGAAACTGGCAACCAGATTTAAATCTCCTTTTCCTTTTAGTATCTAGAAAATAAGCTAAATGCGAAGTCATTATTCTCTCATTCTATGTTTCCATTTACTCTAAGAATCCAGAAACAATCATTTGGATAACTTTACGTTATCTTACAAAGAGAATTCTCTCTTCAATATTCCTTTAACATATGTGACATAATGGTTTACCTTGCCCCTTTCATTTATTTGATGCATTAACTTTCTGAGTACCTGTGTCAACCCACTTTATAAAATCATAATAAAATGAAGGAAAGCAGATCATAAGGAAGTGTATCTTATGAGGTCTAACAAATTCATAAACCATAAGAGAAGATGCAATAAAAACAAAAAATAACAGATCTTTAAATGACTTTTCCCCTTAGAAGCCAAAAGTAAATTACCTATGAATTACACGGATTTGATGTTTCAAATTAAAAACCAAACAAAAACCCCCCCCATGACTTCAAAGATTGTTTTGTAGAGTTTTTTTTTGTTTTGGTACATTTATAGTCTAATTACGCTCTAGTAAAGAAACTATGATATTAAAAATTAATTCATTAGAACCTCCAACCAGCTTAAAAGCTTACTAAGAGCTCATGACCAAATACCTTAGCTAACAAAACACACTGAGCTTGTTAATACAAAAGAATCCTTCGTTCAATAGCCTTGCGACAAATAGGACATTCACTCATTCGGTCTCCGCAGAGCTGGCATGTTCCATGGCCACAAAGGAAAATCATATTCTTCAGGCGATCCAAACATACAGGGCACATTGTCTGGAGTGTGAGATAACAAATAAAGTAATAAGTGCTGGGATATTTTATTTTTTGAAAGTGTAACATGTGACAGCTCTGACATCATTAATTTTCTTTTATTGTTTTAGTCAAATAATTTTTTGTTGCTTAAATTTTTTTTTTTAATTTTTAAATAGTTAAAATGTCATCCCTATAAAATAGAAATATTGGTTGTACTGTCAGGACAGTATAAAAGGCACTACATAAAACAAATACTACATAAAATAAATGCCATGTAAAACAAAAAAATGCAAATGCCGAAATCTAATAGAAAATGGATGAAAATGGCTCCATTCAACTGGATCAGATCCCCCAACTCTGGGTACTATGCTGTTCTTCTATGAAAATAACACAATGTATCAGGCCTGTTGGGAGGGGGGAGCACTACAGAGTTGCTAGGAACACATGCCAAGCACTATGCTAGGTATATATGATACAGTCTCTCAGTGCTATTATCACTCCCACTTTAAAAAACAGGAAACTGAGGCTTAGTGGGATTAAAAACTTCCTCAAGGCAAGACATAATGCGAACTCAGGTCACATGCCCAGACCTCTTGCTTTTAAAAATCTTGTTGCACCACATTAGTATTAATGTAGATCCCCTTAGTAAAAAACAATTAGCTTTAGTTACCTATTAATACATGTAACTTCATGAACTCAGAAGAATTTAGAAGTATGACAGGTATACTTCTGTGAAACACTCTAGGAAATCACTTGTTCATTCACAAAACACATTTTACATTTTATATTTATAAAAACATATGCTACCTTATCATATTATAATATTTCATTCTGAATTATACTTTTCCCAAGTAACATGGAAATGAAACAGTTAAACAAGAATGTCCAGAGTAATAAACCAGACCTAAAGCCAATAAGAAGCCTATGAGAATATGTAGTTACCGACTTTGACAATACCAGAAATCACTGGGGAATTGTAGTCTAACTTGTTAATCCCACTCTTCCAAAGTAAATTTACACATTTATCTATTTAAAAGTTCTGAGAAGCAAAGCAATAGAAAATCATATTTCTTTTATTTTAAAAAGCCAAACCAGTTTTTTAGTGCCATTAAAAGTTTCTTTTCCATTAACATTTCAAGAGTTCTATGTAAGTAATTAACAACTCTTATTTCCAAAAGTAAACACATCTGTGGAGCCTGGGTTAAGTTACTTTGAGTTAATATATCCAATAAAAGCACATGAAATTAATTTTTGTTTGTTAAAGAGACATTGGGGTAACATATATCCATGAGTCTAAGTGAAGAATTAAATATTGATGATCAAAAAGAAAGAGAGACACACACACACACATTGGGGTAATGGAAAGATTGGAGATTTAAAATAAAAAAAGAGTTATTCATATGCTTTCTCTTGGTAACCTTGAAGGGGTCCCTGTAAGGAGAACTGGGTCCCTGGATGGTGAACACACAATGTGATATAGAGATGATGTATTATAGAAATGTACACTTGAAACCTATGTACTTTTACTAACCACTATAAATTTAATTTAAAATAAATTAAACCACAATAAATTTAATTTATAAAAAAAATAAATCCCATCATTCCTCAGAAAATGAAATTTGTTTTAAGTGTTTAAATACTTTAGTGATGAAATATGGTAATGATTATTTAAGGAAGAAGAAACTTCTTTGAATAGTAAACTGTGCATAAATGTAGAGCTGAATTATTATTTTAGGATCCAAAATAAAGTATCATTATTCATTATAAAAACAACTTCAATTCACAATTAGGAGATAAAATGCTTTTCACAGAAGATGTGTTCAAAAATCAGTTTTACCTTTCTATAAGTGTCTTATGGAAAACGAGTTGTGATTCTAAGAAGCTTCAAAAATTTAAAAATATTTTATTTTACACTAGAATGAACTAAATGTGTTCCTATTTTAATATTCCTACATTATATTAAGAACTTGTAAATCCATATTTATCTTTATTCCCTATCTTGTTAGTGTTACTAGGTACTGGATTTCAGAAGAAAAACTGGCCCAGTTATACAGTTTTCATCTTTTCAGATGGCTGTTTAAATTCCTAACAAATATGTCTCACAAGGGTCATTAGTTAACCTGGGTCACTACCTATTGAATAAGTTACTTTCTTATAAATTCAGATAGAAAAGACAAGAGTGATGACTCTTAAGAGCTGCATGGCAACACTGATGTGATTGCCAAACTAAAGAAATAACACACTTTGCAGCTCAATCCTTTGAATTAAGTCAGATTTAATTGATCAGTCAAATGGTAAGGTTAGAGGGAAAAAAAGACTTTCTTACCATATACCTACAAGTTTTAGCTATTTTTTTCTTTATTTTATTGTTGCTTTTATTAAATATTATTGATAAAATTAATAATTTTTATTAAATAAGTAGATATGAACACTTCTGTTGGTATGTATACCATATAAAGAATAAATAACATGACCACCACCCAGTTTAAAGCATGGAACACTAGTTTGCTTTTGAAGCCTCTCCACAATCTCCCCAATCCTTTCCATCTACCTCTCACTGATAACCCCTATTCTGAATTTTGCATTTATCTTTCCCTTGCTTTTCTTTATAGTAAGAATGTATGTAATTTTTTGAAGTATCACATCTATACAGAAATGTGCTCAAATCAGAAGTGTACAGTTTAATATACATTCACAAATTGATCAAATGCATAGAGCATCAATACGCTAGAAACTTCTCTCATGCCCCCTCCCAGCAATCCCAGCCAAGAGAATTAGTATCCTTGATTTTAAACACTATCTGTATGATTTTTTTTCAATTTGCATCCCCAAACAATACCCTAGTGAGTTTTATTAGATAATGGCAAATTTTTCCAAAGTATTTTTTAGTAAAATACTTATATTCCCGCCAGCATTATGAGTTATGACTGCTACATATTCTGCTTATACACTTGATACTGACAGTTTTTAACAATGAGTTTTTCCCTCAGTCTGGTTGGTGGCAAAAGGTGCCTCATAGTGGTTTTAATTTTCATTTCTTAATTATTAATGTGGTTGAGCACTTTTTCATGTTTATTGGTTATTTGTGTGTTTCCTATTTTGGAAAGTGCCTGAGTAAATCTTTTAATCAGATTTTACCTACCGCAAATATTCAAATACTACAAGTGATACATTAATATGAACCATGCTTACTACAGAAAACACCAGTAGTGTTCTAGAAAAATATGAAATGCCACTCAGAATCGTTGTTTACCATGAAGAAATTATTATTACCTGCTCTTTAATGTCCTGTAACTGTTGCTGCAGCTTCTGCACATCTGCATTGACATTGGTATTATCCTTGTCTTTCTGTAACACCGGGATATTTCCACTTGCTATAATATAGATAAAAATTTTAATGTTATGACTGTTTTGACAACAATGATTTCTTATGTCTAAAATTACTGCTGTTTTATTAACAACACAAGGCTACTATTAGAATCCTCTTTAAAAAACTGTTTACATGTGAACAATAGATGCAGTAGTGACATTCATGTTATACTCCTTTATTTATAATCTTCAAAAAGAAACAGGTTTACACATTAACTTCTAATTATATTTAACACAGCTAGACAATAATCTATATGCAGACTTTTGGATTTTCCAAGACGCTACTTGCTTCTTTGACAAGTTCACAAATACATATTATGCTTGTTCTCTGTTCCTGCACAGTACGAACCCAAGAAGGTAAGCAGCACAGCATTTTAGCCAGTTTGGGCCCCAATAATTATCTAAAAGTCTCTTATTTGATGTTTATGAGAACACACAAAAAACTAGCCTCCTTCCCTCAGTCCCAATCTCCTTGTTGTTTCTGATCTAAGATGAGGAACTCCATGAAAGAAAGGCCATGATCAGTAATCTGCTAAATAGAGGGAAATTTTTTATTTCACTTTTCATACTCTCTAGATTCTTGGTCTTTCACTCTAGTTAACCTATCCCTGGGGTTTTCATTCTGCTGTATTGGTGATAAAGACAAAAAGCTCTTGGCAGAAGTAGCTACACTAATGTTTTCCTCATCTGTATACAAAGAAATCAAAGATATCCAATTTATATCTAGTGCAAAGATGAAAACCATTTTTACACAGTTGTATTACTGAAAAGGTTGAAGGTAAATAATCTACTTTTCATTTTTCCACTTGTTCAGTGGGTTATATAGTTCAGTTTATCTACAGTTACTCTGTCCCAAATTATTGCTATTCCATAAAATACTCAAATGCACTAAGTAAACCTGCTAGATAAAGGAATGAGGTTAATACTTGCATAAACTGAAAAAATAATTTGTAATATAATGTTCCCCCAAGATACACTAAACTTCATCTTAAAAACAGCAAATTTCCTTTAGGCAAGAATATTCTTTATATCCAAGATGGAGGTTTCATAAAAGACTAAAATTTAAAGTTCTATAATCATATCACAAACTAGAAAAGTATGTCAGGCTTCTTGTAATGTAACATGAGCAAAGCCCTACCTAGTCCTCTGTAAATTCAAGCATACACCTATGTTTTACAAGGCCACAGTGTGCTATGCCTGAGAAGAGATGTCAGGGAAGTCCGAATGAGAAGTCTAATGCTTAAGAAAACCCACTTACAGATATCATCGGTGGCATCTTCTGAACTTTTCCCTCCACAACACATAATGAAAGGCACTCTTCGTTCAACTACTGCCCGGCACTGCACACATTTTTTCATCAGGCTTGCACAGTCTGGAAAATAACAGTACGTGTCTTACAAAAGAGAACATGAATAAGAAGAGGATTGCCTTTCTCTGCTCATTTTTCTGACTTAAATTTAACACTGAGATAAACTACAGCCTGCAGGCCTAACCTGAGCAGTTGCCTAGTTTGTAAATAAAGTTTTAATGGAAAATAGTCCCACCCATTTATTTACATATTGTCCATGGTTGTTTGGGCACTGAAATGGCAGAGTTGAATAGTTGGGAAGAGTTTAGTTACTACAAAAACCATGTGGCCCACAAAACCAAAAATATTTATTATTTGATCCTTTACCGAAAAATTTTGCTAGCCCTGCATTATGAACTTAAATAACCTGAGCTCTTTTAACTTAAGGCAGAATTCTCTTTCTACGCGCACTCTGACAGTTGATAATAGCCATTATACCAGTCTCTGGTAAACACAGAATTACTTGTGGCAGAATGTTACAGAAGACGACCTTGATCCTTTCTCTCGTTGAGGAGCTGCCTATCAGAATGAGAAAAATGAGGCTAAAGCAAATCTATGCCCATGAGATTAAATCTACCATACAATTTATATATTATGTTAGTAGGTATATGAAAAATCAACCCCTATTGACTGAACTATTTTATAAAACACCATGCTTTACCTTGGGCCCAGTTATTTAAACTTGTTTAAATCCTTCATTGACAAATGTAGAAAGCAAAGGGGAGGGGAGAATATTAATAATGAACAGTGTATAAGTTTGAAAAGAACAAGAGGGATATATAAAAGCAAAGTTTAAAACATCTCTTAAATTTTAATATTATCTTCACAAAGATAAGATTTTATTAAGTTCTCTTGACATAGAGGTTAAGAACGGTTAAGAAGGTCAGATATTATAGCCCTAAATGGTTGCTGTGGGTGGTTTAGTGGGGAAAGTATGCAAGAGAGACAATAAAATGTGCTGATTTTACATGTGAAAAAGGGCTAGACGAAACGTTTCAATATTCATTTTTAGAAATAAATTTCTATTGTGTGTAAGAAGAGCTCATTTTGTGCTAATATAAATTAAATAAAAATTCGACCTAGTGGAACACAGCATATTCAATCTTCTCTGAGGTTCAGGACCAAGGAGTAAAATAGGTGACATTCTAGTACAGAGAAAGAAATGAACGTACTAGAGGCCCACCAACATTTTTGCTTGAGTTATCAAAAACAAACAAATAAACAAACAAACAAAACCAAAGATATAATTTGTTTCACTTTCTATTTTTATAATAATACCGAGGAAGTTTTTTATAGGCTACTTACTCTCACAAGCACACATGTGTCCACACGGTTGAAAAAGAACAGCTGCTTTCTTGTCAGAGCATACCACACATTCTTCAATCTATAAAAAAGAGGTTACAGCACAAGCGTGAACATCTACAGAGAAATCTAGTAACTAGACTAGATGTATCCAAATGTATTTCCTCTGTAAGGAAACCCGAGAAACTTAACACACACACTTCTCTGTCCTCTACTCTCTGGGTTACTCGTTTTCACATCTTTGTATACACCGCTTAACAGGTTCTATCTCCACTTTAGTAGCCCTACCTGCTCTAATGCATGAAATAGAAGAACTCCGTTTACTCTGAGATCAGGGAGACCAGACTGTAGACTCCAGTTCTTCCTTTTCAAAACTACTTTTGAGAAAAAAATAAAAAGAACAAATGACTGAGGTAAGACAGATTTCTAATATTAATAAAAATCTAGCCAGATTAGCCAGACTGCTAAATCCCAAGGAGAATTTTTCTGTTTACCTACATCTAAGGAACTCTAACATCCTTTTCCAGGACTTGGTCAATTCCCCCACCCTGGCGGGAGCCCAAAGTTTTGGGCTATTCTTTCTTCCTGATCTCTGAAGTCTTGCACAATGTATTCATATTGTTCCTCAATTTGACCTCCTCTTCACCTCCATTTAGTTTGAGTGTTGAGTGTTTAACTATCTCTGAACCTTGGCTCTGGCTTCTTTTTACCTCTACCTTACCCCATGCTTCACATCCATCTTTCACCTATTCTTCTCCCTTCAGACACACATTCACATTTACCAACATCTTGTGTTACTTAATATTATTGTCCAAAAATGATGACCACCACTTACCTATGACTTCCCCTAAACAGCCAACTATTGCATGCACTCTCTCTATGGACTTTCCCAACTTATACCTTGCTATGTGCATAGAATTTACAGAGTTGCAGTAACAGTGGAAAGCAGTAAGACATAGTTGGTCAGGGTACTTATATTCCTGGATTCAAATTCCAGCTCCAGTACTAACAAATTACCTAACAATGCTGAGCTGCAAATTTTTTTATAAAATCTGAATGATAAAGAACAACCCTTCTTCACAGGGTAGTAAAGAGCAAATCAGAAGATAGGGAGAGGAGTTACGTGTCCCTTATTCATGTATACCCTTGAACAATTCTAAAATATGAGATGGTGAGGGCACAACTGAACTAAGACAGAGCAATATGGAAGAGTAGAAAGTTTTGAGAACTATTTAAGAAGATCT